GTGGAAGGAAGGGACCAAGGCCCATAGTAATCCTCTGACGTCCGTTATGTATGCCCCTCCTCACCACACACAGAATAGAAATAAGTGTAAAGCAGCAGCCCAGGACTAGTGATGTAGTTCAAGCAGACCACGGGCCTAGAAAGGTACTGGGCTCTGATCCCAACACTGAGGGAAAAGTATAAGACCAAGCCTTGCTCGAGAAGCTAGACAAACAGCAAATTGTCCTAAAATAGAAAGAAGAGAAAAATTATAACCTAATCAATGAAATAAAAGAGCCGATAAAGTCAAAGCTCATTCTAGAAAATTAGTACACTTGATCTGCTTAAAGTGTGAGCAAGTCACATGGGGGAAACATTAGAAATCAAGGAAGGAGCAGAAAGCTCAACCTGCAAGATGTTAGAGGAATGACTGGCATGTCACGAAAAGCTATCAAGGAAGCCCAGTGTCTTACATGAAACAGCAAACCTGGGGTGGGAGAAGCATATTTCACAATTTACACTAGAAAAACATAAATGTATGAAGAAACACTATCACACACACTGACAAAATGAAGCATGTGCTTGAATACATGTATTAACAACATGAAGTACTTAAAAATCTTTCCCCAAGAAAATCTGAAGCCTGGATGGCTTCTCAGATGAATTCTTCTAAATATCTGAGGGAAAACATGTAGCTCAGACACCGCCGCCCGCAGAGTATAGGAACAACATTCCCCAACATTTCAAAAGACAACGAAGCTGACAAAAAACTGAAAATGACACCGTAAGAACAGAAACCAAGGTTATATCCTTTATAAGGTAAAAGTCCTTTAAAAAACTGAAACCAGCAATATTTTTAAACCACAATACATTATGGAAGTAGAATGGTCTGAGAAGCCCAAGGTTGGCTGCTCCTTCCCGTGTCTCCATCACCCCCACTGTCCCACACCATTTTGCACTCAGTCCTCTGTAGGAAGTTAAATCACTCTGCCAGCCTAGGAAATAATGCATCTAATAAGCAGAATTCCTTCTGTCCTTCCAGTTCACTTTACAAGCCCCCTACTGTAAAAAGTGAGACTGGCATTCATTTGCTGGCATTCTCCAACTAGAAGACAAAGAAAAATCATGACCAAAAAATGTACAAAACTATAAAGTATCCCCAGAAATGAAAATATACCAACCTAAGAAATACGATGGCACTTGCAATTAGAAATAATAGGCAATAAAAGGAATTTCTAAGCTGTAAATAGGGAAAACATTGCAAATATTTTAAACTAAAAGATCAATCCACGATGCACAATATCCTTACATTTAAAAAAAAAAAGACACAAGAAAATATATATTTCAGACTGAAAAGACTTACTAGGTCTTCAGTATAATAAATAATAAAAAAATATTTATACCAGAATAAAGTATCTTGAAGACTGTAAGCGAAGATGTTAAAAGCATCCAAGGAAGCCGGGCGGTGGTGGCGCACGCCTTTAATCCCAGCACTCGGGAGGCAGAGCCAGGCGGATCTCTGTGAGTTCGAGGCCAGCCTGGTCTCCAAAGCGAGTTCCAGGAAAGGCGCAAAGCTACACAGAGAAACCCTGTCTCGAAAAACCAAAAAAAAAAAAAAAAAGCATCCAAGGAGAAAAGAGAGGCGGGTCAAAGACCACGCAGATCAGTGATCACATGGCATCACACTTCTCAACAACTGTGGGAGAAGGCACAAGAAAGAGAACCTCCAAACTCCGAAGAAAACCCTAGCCCCTGGAAGACTGGCACAGGAGGCTGTAAAGTGTAGAGCCAGCTTGGGCTACATGCTGAGACCCCTACCCACCTATAAATAAATATATACGGCTCATGACTGTATATACACAACTGAATGTATGCACATGAGAAGGGCTAACAGTATAATTAGTCTAAATCCATGCGTGCCAAAATAAGAATTTTACACATGCCACCTAAAATCAGTTTGAGGAGGTTAAACAAAAAAATAAAAAGTTTAGCATGATATATTAAAAGCCAGAAGTGGAAAATTATCTCTGCAGAGTTTTAACAAAAAGGGGATGGGGAAAGATCAGTCATGAGATTTTTCTGGCTAAATTGGGCACTGTAAACTATATGCATTATTTCTATTATTTTGATTGCATGTGTGCATGCCTCTGTGTGGTGTGTGCACACTGAGTGCAGGTGCCCGTGGAGGCCACAGGGATCAGATCTCCCTAGAGTAACAGGTTGTGGGTGCTGAGAACCAAACTCGGATCCTCTGAAAGAGCAAGATGCGCTCCTAACCATGAAGCTATCCCGAGTCCCACATTAAAATAAAAGTTATTTTAGTTATTTTTAAAATTTAAAATTAATTTCATAAAACGGGCTGAAAAAGATTTTAAAAATCAACCAGTTAAAAGTCTTAAGATTTAAAGCTTGTGCTGGCTAGTTTTATGTCAGCTACAATCATTTTGGAAGAGGGAATAGCAACTGAGAAAATGATCACACCATACAGGCCTATGGACAAGCCTGTTCTCTCTCCCCACTCTCCTTCAAATTCATAGTCTCTTTTTTCATTGTATATGTATATGTGTGTGTGTGAATATATATATATATATATATTCCTAAATATAACCTGCTCAGTCTCTATAATGTTACTTCTAAGTATGTTTCCAGGGCTGACTGCGTGGTACTGGATAACCAGTTGGTGTGCTCTTCCCTGGGGAAGACTATTTCTCTCGCTCTCAGCATTCCTTAATAGCTTCTAACAAATTTTTCTCTTTTAAATAGAAAGGATACAGTTTGTGGTGACACATGCTTGCTATCCCAGCATTGGGAAGGCAGAAACAAGATGAAGGTCTCAACTTTGAGCATGGCCTATATATCAAGGCAATAATATGATAGATGAATAGATGATAGATGGTTGGTAGGTAGGTAGGTAGGTAGGTAGATAATGGATGGATGGAGAGAGAGACAGACAGACAGACAGACAGAGGATGAATGGATGGCACAGTTCCCTAACAAAACCACTGTAAACATTAGATTTGGGACATAAATACACAGTAGTATTAGACTTAATCTTTACAGCATTCTGACTCATAATTGTACTTGTTTTAATTTTACATAGTACTCTCTGTATGGTTTACTCAGAATGGACCTAGCAGGCTTAAGGACAATGGTTAATGCACCTGCTCACTCTCCAGAGCTCACTGCCCTCATTTTCTACATGGAGCATATTTTACTAGAGATGTTTTACCCCCTCGCACAACTATTTCCTGAAGTTTAAGGAAAGGTTAATTTTAGTTTTGAAAGATTCATTCATTCTACTACTAGAGGAAAATGAATACTCCCCCATACCTTATGTTTACCTAAAAATTATACATAACAAAATATTTCTAAGCTTTCTAGTACATAGGCCAGTGGTAATATCTATTTTAGATTTTTTTATTTTAATTAAACTTTGAGTCTGAAAAGTATCAAATTAACATTACTCTCATAGCAATCACTTTTTCTTGTCTCAGGCACATTCTTCTAGACCCATTTTCTTCTTTTCTTAGTTTTCCAAATGAAGCCATTCCAGTACCAACAATGCTCAAGCTATGCCACAAGTTCTAGAGCGAGGGCATTTTTATTGTAACTGCCCTGGCACTAAGACATACTTAGGAGTGTCTTTTGAAGATGCCATAATGTTTTCACACAATGATCACTAAGTCATTATTGGGTTGGTTACTGGGCAAGATCAAAGACAAGCTATGCCTCCAACCCTCAAAAAGCTTCACATCTACCAGAAAATGTACACAAAGTTAAACAAAATGACAGTGCCAACCAAGCTCAAATTTGTGAACAAACTGCTAATTACAACATCCCTAAGTCAACAGGAAAATAAGGGTGCAGAAGAGCAGTCAGTGAGTGTCCTTCAATTTCTGACTTTCCCAGAGTCCCTCCAAAGTGGTTTGCATGGGTATGTGCAAACCTAGGGAGGGTCATGGATACTAGCAGAAGAGCACAGAAGAACTAACCCTGAAACTGCTTTCTGCATCAGGATCTCAAGTCACTAAGTCCTGAGATTCTTGAAGACTGATGGGGCATTTCTGGAATATAATTAAAGAAAAACAATGCACTCTCGACTTAGGATTTTAGCAGTGTGAGTAACCACACAGAACAGATGAAGCAGATGTACAGTTAGCTATCTGGCCCTGTTAAGATTTTATGTCATCCATGAAATTGACAATGATAGAGCAACAAGCAGAAATGTGAAGAAGACAGACTATCTTCAATAACAGCAAAGAATAAAATATGGAGTGTGACAAAAATTAGAAACAATCTCCATTAGTGATCTGCATTAGACAATTACTTTGAAATTACTATTAGTAATAGTATTAGAATAATCTTACACGGTGAATAACATCAGCATTCAACTTCTGAACCGAAATCAAAAGAATGAATAGAAGAAGAGTAGTTAAAGTGATGTGCCAACTACGAAATCATTAAACAATCATAAAAGAGCATGAATATGCTAGGAAAACACCAGATTTTTAATCAAAAGCTAAGTATAAAAATATTTTAAATATATTTTAAATATAGGAGACATTTTCATGTACCATTTTTTTAAAAACTAGAACCCAATAACTGGTGAACAGACTTATGTTTCTACCATATGAACCAGCATTCCCCCATGTTGGCAAAGACACAATAATAATTCTTTTTTGTTGTTGTTGTTGTTTTGTTTTTCGAGACAGGGTTTCTCTGTGTAGCTTTGCACCTTTCCTGGATCTCGCTCTGTAGACCAGGCTGGCCTCGAACTCACAGAGATCCACCTGCCTCTGTCTCCCAAGTGCTGGGATTAAAGGCGTGTGCCACCAACGCCCGGCCCACAATAATAATTCTATAGGTCAACCATTAGGAAGACAAAGATGGCTAACACTGACATCCTTTCAGTTTTCTACTTTCTGAACCTAACGTCTACATCTTACTTCTTGAACTTAACCCAGCTTTGCTTCTGTTGTTCTTGTACATTTCAAGGACAGTGAGGCCACACATGGAACTTGCCTGAGTGAGAAATGAAAGGGACAGAACCAAAGGGGTCTTCCGGAGGATGGCTATGTGGAGCAGAGGGTGGGTCTACATTCTTATCTGAGGGTGCACTCTCCTCGAGCCTGTCTGCGAAAATAAGATCAAACAAAACAAAAAATAAAATAAAATAAAGATGGTTTTAAATGAAAAGTGAGACAGTATAAATCAAAGTAAAAATTAAAGCAACCGCCTTTTTGAAAAATATAATTCACAGCCCTGTTCTTACAAGGACCGAGGCTTTGTCCTACGGTTGAGTTAAGTATCCACTGCTACAAAAGCAAGTTTAAGGGTATTAGTCAGTGCTAGGTTACACTAAACATAATTTACCTAATAAATTAGTCTGGTTCACTTAATACTAGCTATCTACATTTTATAACAGGTTGAACTTAAGTTTAAATCCTGCTTATTACAAAGACATATTTAACATACTTTCAATAAAAACCTATAGAGAAAATATCATAAATGGTTATTCATTCATAAAGTTGGTAAATTCTAGTTCTCAATAGTCAAAAAAAGAATTCATTCTATTTCACATAATTAGTCATTTCTCCTAACACTTCGTACTATTATTAACACACAAACACACACACACACACACACACACACACACACACACAGTATATTTATTCATCTAACAAATGTTTAAGTATTCAGTATATACCAAGCACAGCACTGTTCTGAGCAACTGGAATGTAAAATCAAACAAAAGGAAAAACCCCCGCCCCCAACCCCAAGTAGTTTATATGCTTATATGAGAAACAAACAAGTAATGGACACTGTAAGAAATGTATACAGCATGTTTGAAAACTAATAAGCTACAGAAGGAAGTGTAGCACAGAGAAAAAGAGTAGGCGAGTGGGCAGTGACAAGGAGTGACTCTACTAATTACAGGGTACCAAAAGACCTATCAGCAGCTGGGGATGGAGACATCACAGATGAAAGGCAACAGGCAGCTATGTTTGAGAAAGAATTTACTCTCTCTCTCTCTACTCCCTGGTCATGGCTGTATCCCCTGCACTTAAGCTGTCTGCTCTGGGGATTCTTACACACACCAGCTAAGCACTTCCTGACTTTTTTATACAATGTCTCTTTCCCGATTCTTAGCAATCAAAATTATATATTTGAAACTTATCATGAAAGAGATTGTAGACATTCCCAGTAGACCCTTGTTCCACAGCCATTAAAAAAAAAAATCAAATTCATGTTCATGCTAGCTTGTTTTCAAGTGTTCTTTTGGTGAGTAAATTATGTTGTGTTCATTTAAATTTTAAGGGACTGGCAAACAGGGAGGAAGTCCAATAGTTCTGAAATGTCTAAGAAGGAATGTACTGCACCTTTTCTCACATGTTCACACTCTATTGTTAAGACACCTATTAAGGAGCTAGTTTCATAACATCTTTCTGGAAAAAAAAAAGTGAAGACCATTTATGTGATGGAGGGCTACCAATTTCCTGTGGTGGAAAGCAATGCTGACACATGGAAGGGCAGTCCTAAGAGTCTCCTGGGCCGACTATTAACCAGAGATTACGCACTGTATCCAAGTCCTCCTAGGCCCCCCATCTTCTGTACACCCTCTGGATTCTATCATATGAGAGTAGGGACAAAGGAAACAGTGCAAAATAGGCTGACCCAAGTGATGGCCACAACAGCAGTATCTAAGAAGCGCAGTTCCTGAAGTCCAGACAGCATGGAGGACTTAAGTCTGAATTAGGAACAGCCTTCTTAAACATCTGCATACTGTCAGGAGTCCCTATTACACAGACCTAGTGAATCAGAATATCTAAACGTGAACTTGGGAGCCTCCATTGCATTCTCCAAATTCACAAGACACTATCATGCCAATGGTGCCCAGATTATGAAAGTGCAAAATCATCACTACACTCTTTGAATCCTTTTGCACTCGATATATTATCTTCAACAATCAAGTAAATTGTGGTAAATTTATAAACAGCACGGTGCAGTTATAGCAAAGAAACAAACTTCATGTGGGAATGAGCTGATCATTATATAGGGGTTTCCATAGGAAAAATACAGGAGATACTGTTGTATGAAAAAGTTATTTACTTGATTATTTTCAAACAGAAGTCAGAATACATTTACAACAAAATGAATCATGTTCACATTGTTCCACAAAACACAGAATCAATTTTAATGGAACATTTTTTAAAATCACTTAAGGTTTCTAAAATTCACATAATCTGGGTCTCAGAACACAGAATACAAAACAAATACACATTAACTTATTATACAGTCAATTACATAGAAATAAAAACAAAATTCTTAATGTGGAACTACATTTAAAGGACCTGGCTTCAAATGAATGGCTTTCTCTCAATTAGAAGAAGGCCTGAAGTTAATACAAGAAATTTATCTCATCGTGCCTTATAAAAGAGTTGTATTGGCAAGTAAAAACAGATTCTTTCCAAGGTGTTTAATTGATATAGATGGTGAAAACATAGGATTTGAAAGTTCTGAAAGCAAAGTACTTTCCATAATATCACCATAGAATGAAAATACTCTAGGAGGTATTTTACGTATGCAGGTTAAATAGATAATGGCCTCAAACAACGACTAATAAACAGGGCTGTAAAAAGCAGTCTTCATCGATACTCTGGAGCCAGCCTAATGTGCCTGAAATACTGTTACTCTGCACTAAAGACACTATAGTAGGTCTGAATGAGCTTTAGGAAAGAGTAATTACTGGTATTTTACCATAAACTAATTAGAGATCCTGACATTTACAACTATTTTATTTTATCTTCAAAAATTATACAATATACTCAGTAAAACTGCAAAACAACCAGTCTTTGGGATTCTGTTATTCCTTTTAGCTATTTTTGATGAAATTTTAAACAGAAAACAGTAAAACTATTTGTCCACAAGTGAACCTCCCATTTGTTCTTAATTAGCAGTTACAAGTATACAGCTATCTAACCAAATGCAAGTTTTGATTTTCCCCAAACAGGTGGCATTATAATTACTGTTTAGCATATTAAATATCATGACAACTAGAATTTACAAACTAAATTTGGATGCTTTGGTACAAAAGACAATGACAATAGCAAGCTTAACTTAAAAAAAAATCTGAGACAAACTTTATTGGTTTAATGTATTGTTATTAAGAAAGAGACAGTAAAAGATTCTGAACCATAAATTATACTCATTTACACTGAAAGTTAAAGCAACAATAGTTTACATGCTAAATGCCTGTTGTAGGTAATCAATGATTTTCCTAAAGAACACTAAAAAATGTTATTACTAATTTTAGTTTTAATATTTCAAAAACGTTGCTATGATTTAATAAAATTGCTTCCTACATGAAGCACAGAAGTCATATATATTTTTAGACGTTATCTTTCTCCTGTTAAACAAATAACCACATGCCACCTTAACAGGAAAATCTTGAATGGTAATGTGGCCACTCTGTAACCAATATATCACCTACAGGGACAGTGTGCTCTCAAGAGCCACAGGAAGATGGCAGTCTCTCCCCAGAAAGCATTTCATTAACCAAGCACATGTGCTTTTACAGACAACTCTGGAAAACTGTTAATAAATATGTGTGCCAAGAAATAAGTGTACAAACAAGCTATGTGGTATTCCAAGTGCATTAGTAAATGATTTCTTCATTTTGGAAAAAGTTGTTGAGGACAGAAGAAACTAGCGATAATGAATACCCACTAACTTTCACTGCATAGTCTCCTACCGAAATTAAGAGGCCCTTGCCTATCAGAATGACTTAAACTCTACCATACAGATAAAGTGTTGGATACACTACTGCTGTACCTAAATCCACATTAAAGATGACCACTGAAGTAAAACCATGGAAAGAGACGTTCCTCAGTACATGCATCCTACACGTTATCATCAATCTCTGAAGCTCCTCTCTGAACTCCCCCACTCACTCAATGTTAAGAGAATGAAATGTTTTCCACCTGTTTCCCACTGCCATCTGCCCATGTGCAGTTAGCGTTGTGTGCCCTTGACTCTGATTTGATTTTTAATTTACCAAGAAACCTTGTGCGTGATTTAAATATAATTTCAAAATGCTACTAAACATCTTAAGATTAGGGGTGATGGCTCTCATTGCCTGTGTCGAAACAATCACTTTAGCTCCCCTAACAACCCTGTCTCATCTATCCCAGTTTACAAGGGGGCAGGGTGAGAATGAGGGTAGCCAAGTGACTTCACTGGGACTCTCATCCAGTGGGTTTTCTGATGCTACGTGCTAAAGTAAGTGCAGAAGCCAGTGACAGTGATGCCCATTGCTCAAGGCCCCTGGGTAGTTTGCAAAGGACAGTGGTTGCTCCCAGCCTGACTTCCTGGGTCTTCACCTGAGGCCTGACATCTTCTAATGTAGTATGATGGAGTCTGAGCTGCCTTTGAAAACAGGCACACAAGTACATGGGAATCACTGATGCTTGCCATCTTCAAATTTGAAAACAGTTGTTCCAAAATTTTGAAAGATGAAATTACACATGCAGGCACATTCACATACAGTTCCTGCCTATACCAAACAAATACCACATTTTATAAGACACAAAATAATAAAATCCTTTACCTAGCTCTTGACTTTTTGAAGGAAAAAAGTGATATTTTAATTCAAGCAACAGAAAATATTTATTTAGTAGACCCTTGTCAGAGCACATTAAAAATCGAGACCATCTGCTTCTAAATTAACCCTGGCTGGGGAGACGGCTCAGCTACCATACTTTGCTGCACCAGTGTGAGGAGAGACTCCAGATCCCCAGTATGGATGCCAGGCAGGCATGGTGGCTACCTATAACTCCAGTGCTCAGCAGGCATCCAGGAGATTCCAGACAAGATGACTAGATAAACCATAGTTTGTAATCTGTGGGTCCACCTGAAAGACTATCCCTCAAAGAATAAAGTGGAGAGGGATCAAAGATGACTCTTCAGGTCACCACAGACATTCAAGTATATATGCACACATATACACACACACACATGCATACACACATTCATAAAACACTAAAATAATCTATAAATGACAAGTACTTGACTATCTCCTCCTGCATCTCCCTTTACTATTACTCAAGAGATCATTTATATTCTCTTTTTAAAGCCATGCTTTTGGGGCTTTAAAATAAACTCCAGAAAAATGCCAAACAAAAATGTTGATTTAAAAACATTTTTTAATATGAGGTAAGATTTGTTTTATCAAAGTTAACAAATGTGTATCAGGAGCTTAAAATTCATTTTTAGATCCATATTTAAACACCAATATACAAAATACAAATTTAGATGCCAAAGATGAATGCCTTACAGAAACCCCTTACATGAATGCAGGCCGTCTGTGAATTTTACATAAAATACATATGAATTCAGACAAAGCAATTCATTTACTAAATGTGTTCATAAAGCTAGTTACATAAAGCTAGTTAAATAAAACAGAAATTAGAAACTGGGAGTTAGGCCCTTCTCTTCATATACAAAACAGGGAAACACACTGTATATGAGTATATACATATATATGTATATACACACCCATAGACAGACAGACACACAATCCTCAGAAACTAGAAAATCACCTACATTTTTCACAAATTGAGCTTCTTGCTCTTAGTCTGCAAACCTCTTCAAAACAACCACATTCTTCCAAACCAGATCACTTCTAAAATATATGTGGCAAGTCTTGACATATATATTAGGTAGTTTGAGAAAAGGTAACGATTCCAAGCAAAAACACTGAGATATCAGATTTAAAGTGGAAAGGAATTTCTTTAGCTTTGGCCATATCAGGACAACCCCTCATGAAGAGGACATGACCAAACACTAACATAACGTAGCCCATGTCTTCTCTGGGCATTGTCAAGGGTGTCTCAGATGCACCACTCTTCTACTGAGTGTGCACCACAGAGCTGCAATGTGATGAGTAAGGCAAGGTACTGAGAACGTCTTCTCTGCTTGAACATTCATCTCCATGTCTTGAAGACAGTATGAACTGCACATTCATAGATAGCAGTTTTTAAAGGTTAGGTATCAGCAATCTTGAGTTTATTAGCTACTATCAGGCAACTAATTTCTAAATGTGTGACACAATAAAGTTTAATAGTATGAAAGAAAGTGACCTGAATTTTCCCCTCACACGCACAAAAACAACTGCTCACACCACCTCAAAACAGTCTTTGGCCTTGCTGAACTACAGAGCCGTGATTTTACTGTGAAGCAAAATAAGCCTTCAAGTGTCCCTTACTTGATCTGAGCAGGTCGAACTCCCTGTCCAGCAGCTCCTCTTCTGTTAACTTGGAGAAGTTGTCTTCTCCGAAAGGATTCCACCCTGACATATCAGGCGGGTGACTGACGGTCTTCTCATTCGTAAAATGTGCGACCGCCTCTTTCTCAGCAACTGACCTAGTTGAAAGAGAAAAGAGAATGAATGAAAAGGATGACGTTCCAATAGAGAAACATCAGTGCTCCACTCCACACTTTAGAAACTCTTAGAAAACAAGACTAGGAGTACAGGATGGACAGACAACAGCTGTAATCTGAACACCTCCACAAGGCACACAGTGCTATAACCACCTGTGTGTGGCACACTTGGTGTGTTCCTTTCTCAGTCCGTTACTCCTCAGGATTCCAGTTCATAAGAAAGGAATACAGCAGCCAGGCAATGGTGGCACACACCTTTAATCCCAGCACTCAGGAGACAGAGGCGGGTGGATCTCTGTGAGTTCGAGGCCAGTCTAGGCTACAGAGTGAGATCCAGGATAGCCAGGACTACAAAGAGAAACCCTGTCTTGAAAAGAATTAATAAGAAAAAAGGAATACAACATAAACTTAACAAGGCTACTGAAAAGAGTAAATAATTCAATATATGTAAAGCGAAAACAGTGTCTGGTTTAAAAAACAAAACCAAACAAAAACAAAATAACAAGTAGTTGGTACTAGTCGTCACTCTCAAAGTTAACAGGCCCTAAAGTAAAACTCAGTAACCATCCCAAACAGTATCACTCTAAAACCACTATTAAATACTGTCAAGTGATCTTATACCTATGCTATATCATTGCTGTGGGATGGTCTGTATGTCAAATGTGTTGCTGATTGGTCAATAAATAAAACACTGGCCATTGGCTAGGCAGGAAGTGTAGGCAGGACAAGGAGGAGAATAAAGCTGGGAAGTGGAAGGCTGAGTCAGAGAGACACTGCCCGCCGCCATGATGAGAAACAGCATGTGAAGATGCCGGTAAGCCACAAGCCACGTGGCAAGGTATAGATTAATGGAGATGGATTAATTTAAGCTGTAAGAACAGTTAGCAAGAAGCCTGCCACAGCCATACAGTTTGTAACCAATATAAGTCTCTGTGTTTACTTGGTCGGGTCTGAGGGGCTGTGGGACTGGCGGGTGAGAGAGTTTGTCCTGACTGTGGGCCAGACAGGAAAACTTTAGCAACAAATGGCGCCCAACGTGGGGCAAGAGTTTCCACCTAAAAACTGACAAAAAAGATTCTAAAACGGAGCTTAAAACAGCTTCCTAATTGTCTCTCTCAAATGAGCAGCAGCTGCCAGTTTGAGCTACTGGTGGGTTCCTAGCGTGCACGCTCGACCTGCAGTATGGTGGGAATGGGGCCTCTGCAAGTGGCACATTAAGCTGCATGGTGGATTTAGACTTTGCTAGTACAAAAAAAAAAAAAAAAAGAGGTTTCTGGGCTACATGCTGCTTTGATAGAAGCATAGACCCACTATTTCTGAGAGTTGATGGCTCCCAGAGCTGGTGGAAAACGTATCACCACCATGTTGGGAAGCTGAAGTGGGCGGAGCCAGCAGCGCCAGCGCCGTTTCAGGCTTAGAAGGCTGCAGTTCAAAGCAATAGGCTCAAGCTAATATAAAAAAATAAGCCACGTAAAGATGGCTACCACACAAAGAATCTGGATTATGTTCTCTTTGATATTCGTAACTAAAGAAAAACATTTGATTACAAAAGCTGTTGAGTTATGCCAAAATGTATATTTTAAAGGTACCTTGACTTCAAAATTTGGATATACTGATATGTTGCTTTGGAAAGGAGATTCTGCCTTTGTTTCCACAGAAAGCCAGAGGCTATGGATTTGTTCCAGATTAAGATACATCAGGTTTGACCAGCCAAGACCCCGTGAAAGGTAACACCAAGGCCCAGATGATCCAACATCCAGAATGGTTTCAAGGCAACTGGCTTAGACGATACAGCCTCACGGACTACTCCATGATCCTAAAATTTTCTTTGTTTCTCCAGAAGATACAGCGGCCCCTCCAGCAGGAAGTTGTAAGAAAAACTACGCCCAAATTCCCAAATATACCAAGCTGACTTTAGAGATGTGTAAAGGTTAAAACCTTCCTTTTTAAGAAAAGAAAAGGGGAAGTGCTGTGGGATGGTCTGTATGTCAAATGTGTTGCTGATTGGTCAATGAATAAATCATTGATTGGTCAGTGGCCAGGCAGGAAGTATAGGCGGGACAAGGAGGAGAAAAAACTGGGAAGTGGAAGGCTGAGTGGGGGAGACACTGCCAGCCGCCATCAGGACAAGGAAGATGTAAAGTACCGGTAAGCCACAAGCCACGTGGCAAGGTATAGATTAATAGAAATGGATTAATTTAAGCTGTAAGAACAGTTAGCAAGAAACCTGCCACGGCCATACAGTTTGAAACCAATATAAGTCTCTGTGTTTACTTGGTCGGATCTGAGCGGTTGTGGGACTGGCGGGTGGAAGAGATTTATCCTGACTGTGGGCCAGGCAGGAAAACTCTAGCTACAAATGGCACCCAACGTGGGGCCATTTGGCTATATGGAAACATCACAATGAAAATTATATTCCCTATCAAATATAACTACCAAAAAAGATGACGCGCTAGTTTTGCCTTATAAACAGGCTGAGTTAAACGACGGTTCTTTTGTAGACACATAATACACCACTCATGGTATTGAAAGTATGGTCCTGGGCCTGAGTCCTCTGGTTCTATGCAATTTACCCGAAAGGTCTGTTTAGGTTTTAAGAGAAAATCCAAGGTTAAAGGCATCTCAACCCAAGAATGCCTGGGTACCCCCCTCACACACCCCAACCAGGAAGCACAACACAGAATGAGGCAACAGAGCAAAGTTATCAAGTTTCTGTCACCATTTGGGTCCAGAAGACAGATAGCGGGGCAAGAATCTCCATGTTAGAGGAAATATCTTAATTGTATAAGCCTTGGCTCATCTCCTGAAATCACTGTCATTCCCAACACATGGGCTGTAGAAGTAAAAACAGAGAAAAAAGGATGTCCTTTTCACTCCTAAATCCAGGACTGCTTGTTATATTTCAGCCAAAATAAGACTGTTTAAACAGTTATTGAAGGCTAGAGCACACAAAAGGAAAACAAACAGCAATTTACTTAATTAGACTTACTCGGCAAATAGAAGTTGGCTATGGCCAAGTCAAAAATCTACCTTCATGTGGCAGAATTTCATCTCTATTTCCAAAATGTTTTGGACTTGTAGAATCCTTAAAACACACAGCAGATGAGAAAACTCACAGAGTATTTCCCTTCATCAGACAGCTTTTCAAACTGTCTGGCTCCCTATCTGAATCATTCTCCCACTCCTGGGATGAATTCAGAGATTGTTTTTGGCACACTACTCAACAGATCATCTTAACCCACAATTTATAGACATATAAAAGTACAGCTACAAGGTCTGTACAACACCACACAGAGCACTTGGGACCTTAGTTTAATCTCCAGCAGTTGGCTGGGAGTGAGGGGGTTAACAAATCCTTTACACTTCTCTCCAAAAAAAATGAAACCTGATCCCTAATCCCACATAATAATTTTCTTACTGTAGTTAAAATTACTTACTTTATCACACTGCATTTCTTTAAATGGCATTTGATTTAAATGACTGTAAATAATTGAGCATTTTGAACAAATTAAAAATACATATTTTCATTAATAAAATCCATATAGGGATGCTGGAGAGACAACTAGTAGCTAATAGCACTTCCTACTCTTGCAGAGGATATGGGTTCAGTTCCCAAGACTCACATGGTGGCTCACAACCATCTGTAACTCCATTTCTAGGAGACCGGTGCCCTCTTCTGGCCTTAGAGGGAACCAGGTACCTACATGGTACACATACATACATGCAGGCAAAACACTCATACACAAAAAATAAAAGTAAATAAATGTTGTTTTTTTTTTTTCCTTTTAAGTAACACAGAAGCTGGAGGTACAACTCACAGGAAGACTGTGCACTTGGCATGCCCAAGGCCCTGACTTCAATTTCCAGCATAGATGACAGACAGGCATAGACAGATAGTAAATGGAAAGATTTCTGCCATGTATTATTTAGCTTTAAGATACTGATGAGAGCTGGGCATGGTGGCACATGCCTTTAATCCCAGCACTCAGGAAGCTAAAGCAGGTACATCTCTAAGACTGAGGCCACCCTAGTCTGTTAGAAAGCTCCAGGACAGCCAAAGATACATAATGAGACCCTGTATCTCAACAACAACAACAGATACTGATGGGGCTCATACAGTACAGAGATTGCTGACTTCTAGGGCTACTGACTGACTTATACCTCTGGAAGATCATCAGCCTCTGGAAGTGCAACTACACACAATGGGAATGGAGTACTCTCTGTCGAGCCCTGGACGAAATCATCCGTGTTACTGCCACACAGCAGATGCACTATCTACACTTTTATTATTTGTGGTTTGATTTTTTTTTCCTGTTTCTTGGGCAATGCTGGAAAGTCAACCTCAGTTGTTGCCATGTGGATTTCTAATGAAAACGGCAGCTTAGTGAGTATATACCAACTAGCATCAAGCAAAATATGTGATTCTGATAAGAAAGACTACATCATTCTTGTCACAGAGGGACCAGTTTTACAGATTTATTAGACCACAACTTGCATTTCATAGTTTACATCCTACTGGATCTAATTTGTTTCAAATATGTATTTTTGATCTTAATTTTCTTATAATAATGCTACTAATATATTATAGAAAAGTGCTAAGTAGATAAACAAAAACTAGAGTAAGCAAATAACAAATGGCAAGCACTGATTTGTACGTTTAAGTTCTGTTCTCCACTACACTAATTTGTCCCAACTCATGTACCTTTGTTTTTGCTTCAGAAAAGCAGCTCATTCATTTTTAAAAAATCTCCTTCCAGGTTTCACCCCAGTATGTAACAGATCCCTATCATTCTTCTTCTTCCCTCCCCTTCCCTCCCTCCCTCTCAACCTCTCTCCCTCCCGCTTTCATTCACTCCCACACACAACACCATGACTAAGTGTAGACTTACCCTCTTTGGACACACACAATTTACAGTATGATGTTGTTCCTCATGCCCACTGTCTACTCAAACTCATGTACTCTCTCTCTCTCTCTGACACTCTTTCAAAACCTGAAACTGTGTGTAAGAGCCTCTTTGAAATGAGCTGATAAACTCGTTATTGGAACACCAGTCTTGTATTTGAAGATATTCATATTGATTATTTTGGGGTGGAAGAATGTGTCTTTGTGTGCACATGTACATTTGTGCATGTCTCTGTGTGGACACACATACAGAAAGAAGAGGCCAAACCCACGTGCTATTCCTCAGGGGATGTCCATCTTGTTTCTTGGGTCTCTTAAATGGCTTCGGGCTCATCTATTAGGCTAGGTTGGGATCTCCAGGGATCCTCCATCTCCATCTCCCCAGCTCTGAGATTACAGTGTGTGCCATCACTCCCTGCCTTTTTAACAGACCCTGAAGATCAAATGTAGGTATTAGTGCCTGCATGGAAAGCACTTTACCAAGCTATCTCCTGACCACTTAATACTGGTTCTAAAGTACTTACTAATATTAATGCCACATCCAAGTGTGAGAAACTTTGTACCAAAGTTCTTCAATTTATTGTAACGACTTCCCATATAAAGTACCCATAGAATAATTCTAACCAATCAACTACACTAAGTTTGCTACACATGATACACTTATAATGTTTGTCCCTGTGTAAAAAAAAATTATATAAATTTCATGAATAGTCAAGCTAATTGAAGGCAGTAGTAACACATAAGTAGAAAAAGTTAACATGTTATTTATTTTCAACTACTAAAGCAGCTTTCTAGGACTTTGCTTCTACTTATATGACAAAGAATGCTTTTATGTGCACACCAATAAATTCCTCAGGTCTGGCTAAACTTCGTCTGCAAACAGCAACTGGCAGAATTGCAGACGGTAACTGAAGGAAGACCCAAGAGAGGACTAGGGGAGCAAGTCAGCCACTCAGTGCCGCTTCTCCTCAGCATCATCCACTTCCACAGTAAGGCCCTGTGCAGTCACTGGAAAGGCACTTACTTATTGGCACCATAAGAGGAATCCACTATGGCTCCAAGCTGAGCGGGAAGTGACGAAGCGTAGGAAACTAAGGCTGGTGAGAACTCGTGAGGGGAGGTAAGATACTCGGGGGATGCCTGCTGCCGAGGCTGCTGATGGTGAGCTAACATCTGCTGCTGCAGGAAAGCCTGCTGATACTGCTGCATCTGAAACAAGAAACAACATACAACCCACGGTCAAGTATCTCAGCACCGCACCAGTGTGTTCCTTCCCTTTCCCATCCATGGAGACAACACGAGAAATCCCAAAAACAATTGTGTATTTGAAGAAGTAGCTGTTACAAGAAAACTACACAGGATGATTTAAACCCATTTAATATTAAAAAGCCAGACTCACTTGGCCAGATTCAAAATTCTCCTTTAAGTGTTTTAGGAAAAAGGGAGGGAGGGAGGGAGGGAGGGAGGGAGGGAGGGAGGGGAAAAGAAAGAAGAGAAGAGCAAGCTCTCCTCTAGAGCAAACGCACAGCACAGTCCTTCTACGTTTCCCTTTCACTCAATAGACACTTGCTGAATGGAAGAGATGTATGACAAAAGATTACAGGAACTCTTATAAACAGAAGTGTCATCAGACAGTTATAATGGGCCACATTCAGATGCAAGAGTTTAATTCTTGAGAATAAATGTCTGCCTTCAATGAAAATATGTCAAAATAACTTTTTTAACTTGTGTGTGTGTGTGTGTGTGTGTGTGTGTGTGTGTGTGTGTGTGTGTGCGCGTGCATGGGAGGGACCAGGGCATGTAGAGGCCAGGACCAACACTGGATGTTTCTACCAATCTCTAGCTTGATTTTCGAGACGAGATCTCTCACCAAGCCTGGAGTCCATCAATTCAGTTACAAATGGCTAACCAATGAGCTTCAAGGATCTACCTCCCTCTACCCTCACCCAGTGGGATGCTGGATGGAGCATGTGCTGCTAGCTTTCCACTTCTAATTGGGACTTGGGGATCTGAACTCAGATCCTCCTGCTTACATGACAAACACTGTCAACTGAGCCATCTCTCCATCCTCAGTTAAGTAACAAACCAATTTGCATGTGTGTAGACCGAGGTCAAGATCTGGGTGTCCTTTGGCCATCACTTTCCCCCTGATTTGTTGAGACACAGTCCTCTGGACCTGGAGTTCATTGTTTTGGCTAGACTGGCTGGGCAGGAAAGCCCAGGTTTTCCATCTCTGCCTCCTTATTGCTGGGATTATAGGTGCAAGTTGCCAAGTCCAGATTTCTGAATGGGTGCTGAAGATTAAACTTAGGTCCTCACACATGCACAACAAGCATTTCTGAACTGACTCATCTCCCCAAGCCCCAAAATGACTCTGAATGATGAAATTCTAAATACCACCATGCACACTGTAAATTCCAACTTAGTAATACACACCTAGAGAACATCTAGGTATTACATAGCCCTTACCATTGTAGGATATTGTGATGCTGGAGGATGTGGCTGATAGACTGAATGCATTAAAAACTGCTGTTGAAGTATCTGTTGCTGCTGCATTGCATGCTGATACTATGAAAGAGAAAAAAAAAATACAAATCATACTGTGATGGTTTGAATGAGAATGGGCCCCACAGGCTCAGATGCTTGTTCCCCAGTTAGTGGTACTATTTGGGCAGAATTAGGAGGTATAGCCTTGCTGGAATAGGTGTGGCCTTGTTGGAGGTGTGTCACTGGGGAGGAGCTTTGAGGTTTCAAAAGCCCATGCCAGGTCCAGTCTCTCTCTCTCTCTCTCTTCTGGCAACTTGCAGATCAGATGCAGGCTCTCAGCTACTGCTGCAGTGTATGCATGCCTGCCTGCTGCCACACTCTCCACCATGATGGTAACAAACTAACCCTCTGAAACTCTAAGCAAGCACCTAATTAAATGCTCAATTTTATGAGTTGCCCTGATCATGGTGTCTCCTCACAGTAACAGAACAGTAACTAAAACAAATAATATTTGCACCTTTTCAACATCAGAGTTTTTTTTATTATGATTAATTCTTATTTTGTGTGATGGGAGTTTTCCCTGCATGCCTATCTGTGAATCATGTGCTGACAGTGCCCATAGAGTTCAAATGAGGGTACTAAACTCCCTGGAACTAGAGTTATTGATGGTTGAACCATCATGTGGACGCTGGGAACTGAACCTAGATCCTCTGGAAAGCAGCCAGTGCTTTTAACCACTGAGCCATCTCTCCATCCCAAGTTCTGTTTTTGTAAGTACTGATTTTTATCAGATCAATGACTAAGAAAATAAAGTCTTAAAACCAATATAAAACAACTATAATCTGTGACTGTCACTTTCTGTACGTTTAGCAGAATTAGTTTTAAAGTAGTAATAAAACGTACTTTAGCTAAAACTGTATCAGCATAGTTTAAGGCTGTTTGGAACTAACATGTTCCAGCGCTTCCTGGTTGATGAAGTCTCTGACTCATTACAGTAAATCTCTCGGTTCCTCGCCCTCCTTCTGGGCATTCTGGCATCTCACGGCACCACTTATTCACCACCTCTCTGTCTCTATCAGCCAACGGTGGAGGAAGCGACACAATGAAGTGTCATGTACACAGTTAGCTCAAGCATAACCCAGACAGAGGTAAAATACTTGTGCACACAGTAGTTCCATTTAGGAAAGTTTAGTGAGACTACAATTTTGCAGGTTTCTATAAAGCAAAGAACAGAATAATGTCTGTTTTTGACTCTATGCCAACACAGTCAAAATAATGAAAAATTAAAAATAGGACTATAAACTAGGCTCATATCCAAAAAATAAAATAAAATAATAAAAACAATGTTACTTTTGAAAATACATCACTTTTTCCATAGTAGCACTGGAATAGACTAAAAATATAACAAATATAAACTGTTTATTTCTGAATACCAAATGAACACTTTTGCTTCATAAAGCCATGATGTGACCTATTTTTAAAAGAACATCTCTTCATTTAGCATCAAATGTAAATTAACATATTTGTCAGTAAGCAGGAAATTAAGGGAAGTATTTATTTGAATATAGTTCAACTTATGATATGCCTATTATAAGCCTGTGATACAAAAGTGAATGCAATGATATTCAATTGCTGTGTGAATTTCACACTAGTTTGCTATCTAAAGTAATAAAGAACACTACCTGCTGCAAATAAGCATTTTGAAGTAGCTGCTGCTGCTGCTGCTGCTGCTGCTGCTGCTGCTGCTGCTGCGGAACACGATGCAAATGAAGTTGCTGTAATCTCCAGTCTCCCTGCTGTAACTGCTGCAGGACTCTATGTTGCTGTGGTGGTTGCTGAGGGGGGCCCTGACCCATTAAGACTTCAGAACCACTTCCAGGTCTCAGTGCTCCTGTAATTCCAAAAACATTAATACACAGGTAATTTTAGCAAGATTGAGCTGGACTTCAAACTATTTAATTAAGACATTTCTATGGTTTCATAATAGACATCTGTGTATATATCACATAGTCTAAACCAAGTACTTACTATAATTGTAAATGCCCATGAAATGTAATTTTGTCATCTACATCTCCAACAAGTAAGTATCTCAGGAATGCACCACGTGTTGGCTTCACCTTCCTACCCACTAAAGCAGCCCCACACAAACTTGTTCTGAGTGGTCAGCTCCAGCATGCACCGTGATGAGTAAGCATCCACACCAACAAGGCTCTCTGGGTCTTAGAGAACATTCTGATCCACTGAAATCCCATTATTCAAAGTCTAGATCAAATATCTTTCTTGTTCCTTCACCCAACAGATCCTCTTAGTTTATTACATTTCACTCTTCCCTTCACAGATTGATGGCTTACAGAGCTATTCTATTTTACTTTCCTATTACTGAAAATACACTTTTTCTCACTCCCCTCCCTCTCCTCCCCCCGGTTCCTCCACACTTCCCCTCCCATCTGGATCCACTTCCTCTCTGTCTCTCACTAGAAAATAAACAGGCTTCTAAGGGACAATAAAATAAAATATTAAGATAAAACAAACACTAACACATCAGGGCTGGAGAGATGGCTCAGTGGTTAAGAGTACTGGCTGGCTGCTCTTCAAGAGGACCCAGGTTCAATTTCCAGCACCCACATGACAGTTCACAACTGTCTATAACTCCAATTCCAGGGTATTGGGCATCTCACAACAATGCACATAAAATAAAGTTAAATACATTTTTTTAATTTAAAAAAAAAACTAGCACATCAAAATTAAACAAAACAAAAACCAACAAACTGAAAGAAGAGAGTCCAAGAGAAGGTACAAGAAACAGAGACTCACTCATTCACACATACATGAATCCCATAAAAACACTAAACTGGCCGGGCGGTGGTGGCGCACGCCTTTAATCCCAGCACTCGGGAGGCAGAGCCAGGCGGATCTCTGTGAGTTCGAGGCCAGCCTGGACTACCAAGTGAGTTCCAGGAAAGGCGCAAAGCTACACAGAGAAACCCTGTCTCGAAAAACCAAAAAAAACCAAAAAAAAAAACAAAAAACAAAAAAAAACCACTAAACTGGAAGGTGTGTGTGGGTGTGTGTGTGTGTGTGTGTGTGTGAGAGAGAGAGAGAGAGAGAGAGAGAGAGAGAGAGAGAGAGAGAGAGAGAGAGAGAGAGAAGGGGGGTTGAGGGGAGAAAAGCCCTGGCATGACACTGAGACAAGGAACTTCTAAAGATGCTGTTGAGTTCATTTTCTCTTGGCCATCAACTGCCAGGCATGGGGCCGACCCTTAAGAACAGTTTGTTTCCCCAGTTAGAATCCCTTGGAGAAAACTACATTTTCATTTGCAAGTGGTTATAAATTAGAGATAGCTTCTGGGTTAGAGCTGGGGGAATACGTCCACTTCTTTCAGTTCTAGGGCTCCACCTGGTGTAGACCTTCGCAGACACTCTGCATGCTACCTTAGTCTCTGTGAGTTTATACGTGCTTTGATTATGTTTATTTAAAAGGCCTTGTTTCCTTGGTGTCCATCCCCATTTGACTCTTACACTCTGCCTCCTCTTCCACAGGGTTCCCAGAGCCTTGAGGGGAAGGATTTGATGCAGACATCCCATTTAGGGCTGAGTGTTCCAAGGTCCCTCACTCTCTGCACATTGTCTGGCTGTGGATCTCTGTATTTGTTCCCATCTGCTGAAGGAGGAAGCTTCTCTGATGATAGCTGAGCAAGGCACTCATATACATGAGTATAGCAGAATATCATTAGGAGTCATTTTATTGCTAGGTTCTTTTCATAGACCAGTATTACTGGTTTTGCCCTAGGTCACTGGGCTATCTGCTCTCAGGTTCCTGGTCACCCAAGTAGCATCAGGTATGGGTTCTATCTTGTGGAATGGGCCTTGAGTTAAATCAGATATTGGCTGGTTACTTCTACAAGCTTTGAGCCACCACTGCCCTAGCATGTCCTGCAGGCAGGACGGATTGTAGATCAAAGGGTTTGGGAAAGAGTTGGTGTTTACATTTTTCTTTTGGTAGCCTACAGAATACCTTCCTGTACCAAAGACACCAGTATGTAGGGATGAAGGCTCCATGTAGGCACCAATTCAACCTCTCCATGTTCAATGAGTTGTGTAGGTGTTGCCTTCAGCAGTGGGGCCCTGCCATCAGTTTGTGAAGAGCAACCTATAGTCTGGGTTGTTTAGGGATTCCATTGGGACTCTTTTGGCCATATTAATTCCAGTACTCAGGAGGCAGAGGCAGGGGGATCACTTGAGATCAAGGCCATACTGGTCTACAGAGCAAATTCCAGAGCTAGGGCTACACAGAGAAACCCTGTCCTGGGGGGCGGGGGAGAAAAAGAAAAAGATTCAGTTCAAATTAATATATCAATTACCACATAGCCATTTTCTAAGCAGAGACCAGAGAAGCAGTGATACCTTCTTCATCTATTAGAACCAAGGAGCCTTTTATAACAAACATACCTACTAAACTCTTATTATACTCAATCTATTGATATCGTCTCTTGAATGGACATTTAATCACAACCTCTACAAAATTTACTCAATGAAAACACCTTTGAAAAGCAGCTGAAAAGGTCTATGCAATATCAAAAAGGAATAAAGTAAATATACTAATACTATGTAATGACTGTTTTCTCTTCCAATGATTTACATTAAGTTTATACACAACTGCTACAGTTTGGATGTTTAATTTTCCCCCCAAAGGACCAGGTATTGACAGTGTGGATCCCCTAGGAGACACTACTGGGAGAGGGAGACAGTGGAATCTTTAGGATGTGAGCCCAGTGGGGGGGTCCTCAGTCTACCTGAGATATGCCCTTCGGGGAAATTGTGGACTCTTCTTATGCTATGAGGTGGACAATTAACATGAGCTTCCTGCCATGCCCCCAACAGAGACCTGGAAGCAGCTGGTCCATCCATCATGAACAGGAACCTCTAAAACTATGAGTCAAAAGACAGCTTTGTTCTTAGCAAGTCATCAAGCACATTTGCAGAAGGAATGACCCTACAGACAAGAAACCCTCAAGACTCCAACCAAAAATTTTTAGATCTTAGATATGTAACTTCAGCAAAGTCGGAAAATGAAAAAAGAAAAACCAACATGCAGAAACCCACAGCCTTTCTACATACCAATAATGGACTTTTGAAAAAGAAATCAGAATTAAAGCCCCATTCTCAAAAGCTTTTTAAAAAATAACTAAAAATAAATTTAGCTAAAGAGATGAAAGACTTCTAGAAAGCACTAAAGACAAACGAAAGAGGACACTCGAGTCCTCCGATGAGCAGACTCAGCACTCATGTGAAAATGCCTACATTACTCAAGACGAGCTGCAGACCCAGTGGAGCCCCATTAAAGTTCCAACATTATTTCTAATCAAACAAAAAAGAAACCCCTGAAATGGACATGGAAGCACAAACCCTGAATAGACAAAGCAATCCTCAACAGAAAGAGCAACGGTGGAAACTAACAATGTCTCATCTCAAACTACACAACAGATCCATAGTAACAAACACATATCAACAGACTACAAGAGAGGACCAAGAAATAAACCGCCTAGTCCACAGCCACCTAATCTTGAATAAAGGTGTCAAAAACATACATGGAACAGGGGCGGGGAAAGGAATTCTTCAAACAAATGATGCTGGGAAAATTAGATATCCAGTGTACAAGAATGAAACAAGGTCCACACCTTCTACCCTCAACAAAAATCTATTCCAAATGGATCAAAGACAATGTAAAACCTTAGACTCTGAAACCGTTACAGAAAGGTAAAGAAAACACTTCAAGATACAGGCGCAGCCAAGGAATCTGAAAAGGATACCAGCAAGGGCTACAGAGATAGCTCAATGGGTAAGAGCACTAGCTCCAATTCCAGAAGACCTGGGTTGGAGTCCCAATACCCATATGATGGCTCAGAACCATCTAAGACTCCAGTCCCAGGGGATTTGATGCCCCCTTCCAGCCTGCATGCGAGCATAAGCATGCATACAGATAAAACACCTACACACATAAAATTAAATAGCCGGGTGGTGGTGGCGGATGCCTTGAATCCTAGCACTCAGGAAGCAGAGGTAGGCGGATCTGAGTTCGAGGCCAACCTGGTCTACATAGCGAGTTCCAGGACAGCCAGGGATATACAGAGAAACCCTGTCTTCAAAAACAAAAACAAATAAAGTAAATAAACAGGAGGGAGGGACAGAATGAGAGGGAGATGGAGGGAGAAAAGGACTCCAACAGGACAGCAAATCACCCTGAGAAATGACAAATAAAGCTGCATGAAAATAAAAGGTTGTTCTCCAGCACAGAATGAAGATACTATCTACACAAGGAGAAAAGGTTTTTTTTTTGTTTTGTTTTTGTTTGTTTGTTTTTCGAGACAGGGTTTCTCTGTGTAGCTTTGCGCCTTTCCTGGAACTCACTTGGTAGCCCAGGCTGGCCTCGAACTCACAGAGATCCGCCTGGCTCTGCCTCCCGAGTGCTGGGATTAAAGGCGTGCGCCACCACCGCCCAGCATGAGAAAAGTTTTACATCTAACCAGGAATCTAGACTCTATAAAGACTAATCTAGACTCTAAAAAGAACTCCAAAAACTAAGGACCAAAACCCCATCCAATCAAGAAGCTGAGTAATGAACTAAACAGACATCTCTCAAATAAAGCAATACAAATGGGCAATAAAGTACCCAAGGAAGTGTCCAACATCCTAATCCATCCAGGAGCTACGAATGAACACTACACTGGAATCCTGTCTTACCACAGTGACAGCGGCTAACATAAAGGTAGGAAAAGACGAATGCACGCTGGTTTCAAAGTGGTACCCTCGTGCACACTAACGTGAATAGAAACTGGAATAGTTTATATATAAACAGAATATAAACAGAAATCAGTACAGAGTGCTGTAGGT